CAGAATGTGACCTTCCTTGGAAACAGTATTGCTGCAGATGTCAGCAGTTAAGATGAGGTCCTTAGGGTGGGCCCTAGTCCAGTATGACTTGTGTCCTTAGGAAAAGGGGGAATTTGGACACAGACATGCACAGAAGGAAGACGATGTGGAGAGATGGTAGAGAGAAGATGGCCATCTAAAGGACAGAGTCTGGGACAGATTTGCCCTCGGCCCTCAGAAGGAGCCTGAGCCTACTGACACCTTGACTTTGGACTTCCAGCCTCCAGAACTGTGAGACAGTGTGTTTCTGCTGTTTTAAGTCCTCCAGTTTGTAGTACTTTGCTGTGGGAATCTTAGCAAAGTAATATCCACCTCCCCAGTGTTCTTACTCTGGCCGTCCTGTTGTAAATTGGAAACTGCTTCCTCCTCATCCCTGCCCAGCATTCCCAGATTCTCTTTTTCTTTCTCTACAGTGCTTATCACCTCCTATCATGTTATATAATTCACATGATTATTATGTCTGTAGCTTATTTTTTGCTCCTCCTACTAGAATGTAAGCTCTGCAAAGGCAGGGATCTTTATTTTGTTCATGACAGACCTTGGGCTAGCCCAGCGCCTGCACACAGTTGGCGGTCAGTAAGAACTGGCTGCATGGAGGGGGGCTGTTTCTCATACCTATTATTACAGGTGTACTAAGAAAACAAAGGCTCTGGGAGATTCAGTATTTTGCTAAGGCGCAGAGCTAGTAAGTGGCCGATCAAGCTGAGTTTCAAGTAAATAGTGAATCTGGAAAGTATAGATTATTTTCTTTCTGTTGGTTAGTATTATCTGATATACCATTTTTCTACTCTTGTTGATCTCTTTATGTTATTCTTTTAACTTTCAATCTGTTTTATGTTTTAATTTTGCTTTGTTTCAGGTAAACAAATGAAGTCTGTTCTTTTATTCCATGTAAACATATGTGGCTCCCGATGATACCTTGTTCCTGGCACCTTACCTGTGACCTCTGTCCCCTTCGCTCTGCTCTTCTCTCCCTCTTTACGCCGCGCAGTCTTGGTCGAGGGCACAGGGCCGAGATGGTGTGTCTGGGCTTGGTTCCGTTGCTCGGTAACTGCGATCTTAACCTGGACACTCAGTCCCTTTGAGATTGTTTCCTCATATACAAAAAGGGGTAATAAGCCCACCGAGAGGTTTGTGAACATCAAGTGATGAAATACATAAAGCACTGAGAATAGAAGCTCCATTGTGGCCCCTTTGTTTTTATTCTCTTTTTAAACAGGAATTTCAGAGATTACTCTTGAATTTTAAAGAACATACTGGATGTTTAAAGTCTGTTGTTAAACCCACCATTGAATTTTATTTATCAACTGTTACGTATATTTTGTTTCCATAAGTTCTGTTGGTTCTTTAAAAAAAATTCTTTTTTCATAATGTCCTGATTTTTCATTACATTTTCTATGATTAAAAAAGAAAATTCAGCCGTACTCATTTTATGCTCTTTTAGATTGTTTCATGATTTTATGCCCCGGAGCACTGTCGTCCTGGGAACCTGGGCTCTGCCCCTTCTTACTTAGGGTTGATGATTTCTCCCTGTTCATCTTGCACGCAGTTGTGTGAGCTCCCCTTCAGCAAGTACTGTTTTTTCCTACGGTCCTCCATGCACCCTGCTTTATAAAAGTTTTCCTAGAGAACAAATTTCTGTTGCTTATCCTTAGGCCCCAAATGATTTGATCAATCTGAAATTCCGTTATTGTTATTTTCTGCTTGGGGATTCCCGCATCGTAAGTGAAATGTAGGTTTGGATTCCACATCCACATGAGGCATGAGTTTGGAGTTCAGCTTTTTTAAGGGAGACCTTGTTTTTTCCTAGAGACTCTGGTAGAATCAGTTTCCCCATGCCTCCCTTGTGTCGGTGCACAGAGATCTTTGAGTCTCCCTTTCACCCAAGAGGCGACCCCACCCAGTAACTGTCATGCGGTGGGTGTCAGAAAAGCAGGAGTCTTTCCATCTGGTATGAAGCCCTCTTTCTGAATGGACACTGTAACCCCATTCACGATACAGATGAAAACCCCTTTCCTCTGGGGAGCTGTGGCAAAAGCTTACAAGCTGACGATTCTGACTGCAAGTTTGCTGTTTATTTTTGTCACCTGGGCTTACTTTTAAAAGGAATTCAAATTAACTTAGTTCACCGTGTTTCCACAACTGAAAGCTTCAATTCTAGAGTATCAGTTTGGTTTTTCTTAATAGTACATTTCAGCTTATTTCTCTGGTGAAACTGTTTATCCTTTCATCTGTTTTGTCCATCATTCCTCTATTTTATTGAACATATTAAGAGGAATTATTTTGTAGTTTTTATTTGTTAAGCCTAATACCTGGATCATCTGTGGGTTTGCATTTGTTGCCTAATATTTCTTATTCTCATATTATCAATCATGTAGTCTCAACACTTTTCTGGTCCAGACAGTTTTTATTATTTGGCAGACATTGTGAATGGAGAATCCATTGACGCCACACATGATGTTTTCGTCCATGACAGAAATTCCCCTGCTTCCTGTTAGGCAGTGGGGGCTGCCTCATCTCTTTCCAGTCAGGCATTCAGATGAGTCAGGATTAGACTGCATTTTTTTTTGTTATCATTAATCTACAATTACATGAAGAACATTGTTTACTAGGGTCCCCCCTTCACTAAGTCTCCCCCACAAACCCCATTACAGTCACTGTCCATCAGCATAGTAAGATGCTGTAGAATCACTACTTGTCTTCTCTGTGTTGCACATCCCTCCCCCACCCCCCACCCCCACATTGTATGTGCTAATCATAAGGCCCCCTTTCTTCTTCCCTGCCCTTATCCCTCCCTACCCTCCCATTCTCCCCAGTCCCTTTCCCTTTGGTAACTGTTAGTCCATTCTTAGGTTCTATGATTCTGCTGCTGTTTTGTTTCTTCAGTTTTCCTTTGTTCTTATACTCCATGTATGAGTGAAATCATTTGGTATTTGCCTTTCTCTGCTTGGCTTATTTCACTGAGCATAATACCCTCTAGCTCCATCCATGTTGTTGCAAATGCTAGGATTTGTTTTCTTCTTACGGCTGAATAATATTCCATTGTGTATATGTACCACATCTTCTTTATCCATTCATCTACTGATGGACACTTAGGTTGTTTCCATTGTGTATATGTACCACATCTTCTTTATCCATTCATCTACTGATGGACACTTAGGTTGTTTCCATTTCTTGGCTATTGTAAATAGTGCTATGATAAACATAGGGGTGCATCTGTCTTTTTCAAACTGGGCTGCTGTATTCTTAGAGTAAATTCCTAGAACTGGAATTCCTGGGTCAAATGGTATGTCTATTTTGATCATCTTGAGGAACCTCCATACTGCTTCCACAATGGTTGAACTAATTTACATTCCCACCAGCAGTGTAGGAGGGTTCCCCTTTCTTTGCAACCTCACCAACATTTGTTGTTTGTAGACTGCATTTTAAAGCAAATTTGAGGTATACTTTACCAAGTAAGTTTTACATATTTGTAAAGTGTACAATACATTTTAACATATACATATATCCAAGAAACTAGCACCACAATCAAGAGAATGAACATATCCATCACCCACAAAAGTTTTCTCATGCTCTTTTGTAATCCCTGCCTCCCCATACCTTCCCTGGAAACCCCTGATCTTCTGTCTGCACTACATATTGGTTGGCATTTTCAAATTATTTATATGAATGCAATCATGCCATATCTCTTCTATGTTATCTGGCTGCTTTCATTCAGCATAATTATTTTGAGATTCATCCATGTTGAGCGTATCAATACCACATTACTTTTTATTGGAGTAGTGTTTCATTTTAGGGATGTACTCCATTCACTTCCTGATGGACATTTGGAATATTTACATTTTGGGTATTATAAATAAAACTGCTATGAATATTTGTTTATCAGTCTTTGTATGGACATGTGCTTTTATTTCCTTGAATTCCTAGAAGAGGAATGTCTGGGTCATGTGGTAGATAGGTGTTTACCTTTTTAGGAACTGCTAAACAGTTTCCAAAACAGCTGTGTCATTTTAAATTCCTCATGGTGTATATGAATTCTGGTTGCTCTACTTCCTTGCCAAGACTTTGTAAGGTCAGTCTTTTGAATTTTATCTATATTGATACGTGTGTAGTAGTTATCTCTCAGCAGTTTTCAGTTGCATTTCACTAATAACTGATGGTGTTCAGCATCTTTTCATATGCTTATTTTCCATCTGGATATCTTTGGTGAAGTGTCTTTTCAAGTCTTTGGCAGATTCCTTTATTGAGGGCATTTGTTATTGTTGAATTTTGAGAATTCTTCACTCTGGATATAAATCCTTTTAAATTTTAGATATATGATCTACAAATTTCAGCCTATGGCTTGTCTTTTTATTTGCTTAATAGTGTCTTTGAAGAGCAGAAGTTCTTCACTATGGTAAAGTCTAATTTATTGATTTCTTTTTAAAATAAATCATACTTTTGGTGTTATAGCAATCTTCACCAAACTCAAGGGCATAAAGGTTTATTTATTTTTTTCCTAGAAGTTTCATAGTTTAAGGTTTTCTATTAAGGTCTATGATCCATTTTGAGTTAATTCTTGTCTATGTTGTAAGGTATGAATCAAAGTTCTTTATATGTGTTAATTTATTTCTGGATATTCTATCCTGTTCTATTTTTTGATTTGCCTATGTTATGGCAATATTATACTTCCTAGTTACTGTAGCTTTATAGTGAGTCTTGAAATCGGATATTCTAAGTCCTCCAGCCAGATATTTGCTTTGTTTTGACTTTTTGAGGTTCTCTGTATTTCTATATGAATTTTAGAATCTGTTTTAAAATTCCCTTTCTTACATCCCATTGTACCAAAATTCCACCCCTTCTTAAGATCAATATCCAAAGCCTAAAGCCACATTTTCCAAGAAAAAGGTCTCTCCAGATTCCAGGTGATGGGAATTACTCTTCTGTGCTCCATTCACACTTCATAACACTCTTATTGCATTTATTCATATTTGGCTGTATGTACTTTTTCTCATCCTAGAGGCTTTGTGCAATGGCTAAGGATTGGGATATGAGGTTTTTAGTTGTAACTAATGATTTTGATAGTGTTTATGGATCATTAATCTAAATAGAACTGAACATCTGTCATGAACACAGCTCCACAACAGAATACAGAATTCTCATCACAATAGGATGCATGTCCCTGGAGTGATCATCCAGCTGATGTTCGCACCTCCTTGTGCTTCAGTCGTGTTTGTGCTCGGGATGGACGGCCCGCGGCTCTCCCGTCAGAAAGACAAAGGGAGGGATGGTTGCGGCTATGAACTAATAGCCTTGCAGATAAAAAATACACAAAAGCCCACTCAAATTATGACCAAAATAGTTTATATTATAACTTAAAATAAAAAATTGTCACAAGAAATAGCAAACTGTAACTAATGCTTTTTCTATCCTCTTAGGAAAAGGACATTAAAAAATGCTGGACAATAAGACATTAATTGCATTCCTTATATTTAATTTCCACATTTCACTTGCTACCCATAATTTCACCAAAATCGATTTCACCTGTCCTTTATAAAGTATTTCAGTTATTATTCTAGAATTGCATTTATTGGCATGTGGCTATTGAGCAATTGGAATGTGGCTAGTCCAAACTGAGATATGCTGTAAATGTTAAATACACCAGATTTTAGAGACTTGGAATGAAAAAAAGAATGTAAAAAATCAATTTTTATATTGATATTTTAGAAATATTACATAAATTACCGAAATTAACTTCATCTGTTTCTTTTTACCGTAAAAAGATAAATGTGGCTACAAGAAAAATAAAAAATTACATGTGGCTCCATTATACTTTTATTGGATAGCAACTGGGCTAGAACACTTGAAAACAAAGTGGTGATATCTTTAACTTGCTAGTATCTTTTATACTCACCATCTGCTTTTGGGATGGGATTGTAACATAAAACAATAATCACACGAGTATGCATGCTTTTTTCTAATGAACATACATTACTTTTTAAGTAGAGAAAGTAAAAATGTTATGTTTTATTTATAATCTTAGAGTTACAAACAAGGACTTGCATTTAAGACACACAGCATAAAAGATTAAAACAATGAATATACCAAATCCTCTTAGCACTCATAAAATACATTTTCACCTGATGGCGAGTACAGACGGGAGGCAACTAGAGGCAGGAGTGGAGCTCCGAGGGAAAACGCGAGAGCTCACCTGCTTCCCGTGCGGACGTCACAGGTCTTGTTAAGTTGTCATGGAAGCTCTGCTACTCAGGGGACCGTTCATGTGACTGTGCACACCACGTGCTCACATTCCTCCCCGTTTCCAAGAGAAAGAGGAGCTGCTTTTCTGTCATCGAGAATTAGGAATAACAGTTAGTCACTGATGGCTGCATATCTGCGCTTTCCTTTCCTTAGCATGTGTCAATAAACTTTACTGGTTCTAATCATGGACATAAAGGGCCCTGTCCATAAATGATTTATAAAGTGTGACTGGTTAATGATTTTCAGTAAGATACCACAGTGCTATTTTTTTCCTTATTGGTTGAGGGCAATTTGTCTTGAAATGTTCCTTTTGTGTTGGTTGCTTGTTGTGTTCAAAACTTCCTTCGAAACTGGCACAATCCCGTCCACCATCCATCCCCAAGTCTTCCTGTGAGGCCCTGCGAGTCTCTAGGGACACTCTGGTGCCCTCGGGGCGGCTGCCGGAGTAGCGGGGACCCCCGCCCCCTGCTGGTGCAGCTCTCAGAGGATGTCTAATACGGAGTCCAGCTCTGTGCGGAACTTGTCCAGCTCACGATTCTTCAACTGGGCAAGTCTTTTCCACTTCTCGATTTCTTTGCTTTGTTCGGTTTCTACTACTTGCTGGGTTTGCTGTATGATCTGTGAATAGAAAGTCCCTTATTACCGTTAGAGTTCACAGTGGGGGTTGTTACAGAAGATCCTCTGAAACTTGACTAAAGTAAAGGCAATTTGACTACCACAGCCATTTTAAATGACAAACTGCTGGGCTACATTCCAAAGGAAGGGGACCGGGACACTCCCCTGCCCCAGCCTGCAGGCTGGAGACACAAGGACTGCAAGGATGTTCGCTGAGTCCCTTGAAACTCAAGATAAGCACCAGCCTGTGCTTACATGCCCCCTGCACGTAGCCCTTTCCCCATCCCGATAAGAGCCAGCCTAACAGGTCCGCAGTGGCCACTTCTGTGCAGCAACCACGCGAATGCCATCCACTGTTCCGTAAGTAACCCCTTAATAAAACTCATTTACTCACCAAGCTGGGCTAGTCTGAGTCACTTTTTGGCCTGTCAGTTCCCTCACAACTAAGGGGAAGGGGCTTCTTTTACATCTCCCCAGGAAATTCACAAAGTGGGCGAAGTACATTTAAGAGATTGCAAAGAGCTACAGTGGGACAACGCCGACTACGGTAAACCAGTGACTGGTGTATCAGAGGAGGGGAGGGAGGAGAGGGCGCCTTATTAACAGGCTCCCCTGTGTCTGAAAAGGTTTGCAGGTGAAGAGGGTAAGAATTGGGAAATCTAGTATCCAATTCAGATAGAGTTTTACAGTCTTTTTGAAAAAAGCATTTAAAGCATCAGAAAATTTTAATACCTTCGTATTAATCCAAACATCCCTAAGATGCTGTTCCTCCTAAAAATGGCACTTGAGATGCTGTCAAGACAGTTTTAACATACAACATATGCCATTAATGAACCACACATTATAGCACCAGAAATAATGATAAAACCACACATGTAGCATCATCATGTGCCAGGTTTGGTTTTAAGCATTTTACATGTATCTAGTCATTTAATTTTGACAACATACTAGGTATAGATTCTGTGTACTTATCCCCATTTAACAGGTAGGGAAATGGAGACACAGGTAAGTTTAAAGAAAAATTTTTTTGCCCAATGTTCACACACAACCCATAGGAAGCAGATTCAGGATTCACACCCAGGCAACCTGGAGAGTCCTTTGTCTTGACTACCACACTAGACCGCCTTGCTTATGTGGATCTGCTTTTTTCAACTGTGAAATGAGCATCCCCTCATTAAAATGAGGTTTAGTTTTTTCAGGAACCTCCACACTGCTTTCAATAGTGGCTATATAAATTTACCACCAACAGTGCACAAGCGTTCCTTTTCCTATACACTTTTGCTGATACTTGCTATTTTTGTCTTTTTGATGATAGCTCTTCTAACAGGTGTGAGGTGGTGTCCCATTGTGGGTTTAATTTGCACTTTCCTAATGATTAGTAATGTTGAACTCCTCTTCATGTATCTGTTGGACATTTAGATATCTTCTTTGGAAAAATATCTGTTCAGGTCCTTTGCCCATTTAAAAATGCATATATATATATGTATATATATATTATGAGTTCCTTGTATTTTAACCCCTTATCTCATGTGTGGCTTTTAAATATTTTCTCTCAGTTCATAGGTTGCATTTTCATATATTGATTTTCTGGTCATGCAAGTACTTCTTAGTTTGATGTATTTCCAGTTGTTTATTTTTGCTTTGTTGCTTTTAGGTGTCATACTCAAAACATCATTGCTAAAATCCAGGTCAAGGAGCTTTTTTTCTGTGTTTTCTTCTAAGGGTTACATGATTTCAGGTGTTACATTTAAGTCTGTAATCCATTTTGAATAAATTTTTGTGAGTTGTGTAAGATAGGGGTCTAGTTTCTTTCTTTTGCATGTGAATATCCAATTTTATCAGAACCTTTTATTGAAGAGACTGTCTTTTCTTCATTGGGTATTTTTGGTTTCCTTATCAAATAATAATTGACTGTATATGCATGGTTTTTTCTCCTGGGCTCTTGATTCTGTTCCAATGGTCTATATGTCTGCTTCTAACACCAGTACCACACTGTTTTGATTACTATAGCTTTGATTATATTTTGAAATTAGGAAGTGTGAGGCTTCCAGCTTTGTTCTTTCTCAGGATTGTTCTGGCTATTCAGGGTCTTTTGTGGTTACAAATTTAGAATTGTTTCTTCTATTACTATACAAATGACACTGGAATCTTGATAGGGAATACACTGAATTTATAGCTGGAGTTGGACATTTTAACAATATTGATTCTTCCAATCCATGAATATGGGACACCTATCCAGTAATTTTTATCTACTTTAATTTCTTTCACAATGTCTCACACAGCTCTTTTATCTTCTTGGATATACATTTATTCCCAAGCAGTTCATTGTTTATGATGCTTCTATAAATGGGATTTTCTTTTTCAGATAATTTGTTACTATATAGAAACAGTATGACTTTTGTATATTGATTTATATACCCTGCAATTTCACTGAATTTGTTGACTAACCAAATTTTTGGTAGAGTCTTTATGACTTCCAATATATAAAATCATGTCATCTGCAAATAGAGACAATTTTACCTTTTCCTTTTCAATTTTGGTGCCTTTCATTTCTTTTTCTTGCCTGATTGCTCCTGCTAGGATGTCAAGTACTAGGAGTGATTAGAATGAGCACCCTTGTCATATTTCTGATCTTAGAGGAAAAGCTTTCAAATTTTTACCACTGAGTATGATGTTAGTTGTGTCTTACTATATATGGCCTTTATTATGTCTAGGTACATTCTTTATATACCTAATCTGTTGTGTTTTATCATGAATGGATATTGAATTTTTTGACATGTTCTTTCTGCATTTATTGAGTAGACAAGACTTTTATCTGTCATTCTAGTAATTTGATGTTATCACATATACTTATTGGCATACGTTAAATCATTGTTACATCTCAGGAATGAATCACACTTGATCATGGTGTACAATCCTTTTAACATGCTATTGAATTTCATTTACTAATTTTTTGAGAATTTTTACATCTATATTCATAAGGGATACTGGCCTCTGATTTTCTTTTTTGGTAGTGTCCTTATCTGGCTTTATTATGAGGGAATGCTGACCTTGTAAAATCCATTTGGTAATGTTCACTCCTCTTCTATTTTGGAAAAGTTTGGGAAGGGCTGATACAAATTTTTCTTTAAAAGTTTGTTAGAATTTACCAGTGAAGCCATTTGGTCTTGGATTTTTCTTTGTTGGGAATTTTCAATTGCTGATTCTATCTCCTTACTAGTCTATTCAGATTTTCTATTTCTTCCTTATTCATTATTGGAGAGTTTTATGTTTCTAGAACTTACCTCTGTCTTTTAGGCTGCCCAGCTTGTTGACATATAGTTTTCATAGTAGTCTCCTATGATCCTTTGTATTTCTGTAGTATCAATTGTAATGTCTCCTTTTTCACTTGCATTTTGAGAGTTCCCCCTTTTCTCTTGGTTAGTCTAGCTAATGGCTTGTCAATTTTATTCAACTTTTCAAAGAACCAACTTAATTTTGTTAATCTTTTCTATTGTTTTCCTGTCCTGTATTTAATCTTGGTTTCCTTCTTTTTGCTTTGTTAGTTTATAAGGTGTTAAGTTAGGTTGTTTGAAATCTTTCTTGTTTTTTGATGTGTGCATTTATCACTGTAACCTTCCCTCTCAGAACTGCTTTTGTTGTGTTCTGTAAGTCTTGGT